AAGTTTTTGTTTAGTTTCCTACATTTTCCAATTCCAATTTTATCTCACTTTGGGGTTTCCTTAGTGGTTCTATTTCTATTTTCATGTCTTGAATTCTTTTCATTATTTCACTCAACTGTTTCTTTGTGTTTTCATGGTCTACATTTAGGGATTTATTTATATTCTCCTTAAGGTCCTTGGACATATTCATAATTGCTACTTGAAGTCCTTGTCATATGCTTCAGCTACATTGCATTTCTATTGGCCCCCTGTAGTGGGGTTACTGGGTTCTCGTGGAAGCATATTGTCTTGGCTGCTCACGTTTGAGTTTCTGTGCTGGGGTCCAGGCATCTGGAATTGATGACTGAGCTGATTCTTGAGGTTGATATCTGGTCTTGTCTTCACTGGGTGTGTGCTCCATTCTTTGTTTTTTGTTGCTCCTTTTGGATCGTAGGAAAGTGTGGTGACTTCAGTCTCCTTGATAGAGAGTGTTTCTGCAGGTCAGGTGGTAGCTGAGGGGAATAGAGATGATCTAGAAGAAAAGGCTGAGAGGGGCTTTGGGGAAGAGCTAGGGGGATCCTGCCCACACCAAGTTGTGAGGTCCCCAGGGAGTTGGTGGTGGGGTTGGAGGAATGGATCCTGCAGGTACACTGCAGTAAGACAATGGATACATCTGGAAAGACAGTGACCATAAGACTAGGAGGACCTAAGGTCTGACCATGAGTTGGAGTTTCTAGTGAATGGAGTTCAGTTGGGAGGAGGGGAACCTGTGAGCCAGCTGCTAAAGTGTCTTAGTTAGGGTTACTATTGCTGTGATAAAACAACATGATCAAAAGCAAATTGGAGAGGAAAAGCTTCATTTCACTCCCAAAACCATATAACAGGTCATCATCAAAAGCAATGAGAGCAGTTCCTATTCAAGCAGGCCAGGAACCTGGAGGCAGGAGCTGATAGAGAGGCCATGGAGAGGTGTTGCTTACTGGCTTGCTCCCAGTGGCTTGCTCAGCCTGCTTTCTTTTAGAACCCAGGACCACCAGCCCAGGGGTGGCCCCATCCACAGTGGACTGGGCGCTCCCACATCAGTCACTAATTAAGAAAGTGCCCTACAGGCTTCCATAGCCAGATCTTATGGAGACATTTTCTCAATTAAGACTCCTTCCTCTCTGATGATTCTGGCTTGTGTCAAGTTGATGTCACAGTGAGAATGAAGAGATGGTAATGGAGACCAAGAAGGATGGTGAGAATTGCCCACCTGACACTATGGCTAATTAGTTTGTTGGCACACATCCTAGTATTCTTTGTAATTTTTTTTAGAAGAATTTCATGTGTGAGTACTGTATTCATATCATTCTTCTCCTCCTTTTCTATTCATGTCCCTTACGCTTCCTCTCAGATTCATGGTTTCCTATTCCTTAATTATAATTGTTACATATATGTATACACATTTATAAATACAACCTGCTGAGATTATTAGTGTTACTTGTATGTGTCTAGGGCTGACTTCTTGGGACTGGCTAACTTATCAGGGAGCTTGTCCCTATAGAGAACTGATTCTCCTTCTCCAAGCAACCAACAATTGCCTGTAGTTCTTATTCTAGGGGTGAAACCCAAGAGAATTCCCCCATACAACACTTCATGTCATATAATTTTAATTGGCTGAGACTTCTGTCAGCACAACTGAAGTTCACTATCTGTTCCTTGCACATGAAACAACCAATTCAAAAGAAGCAAATGAAAATCATTGCATACTCCACCTCTTAGAAACAAATGCTTGAAATCATGTGGTGTAGATTTATTGCCAACTTTCTTTGCAGAGAAACAGACACAAACTTACAGGGCAAAGTTCATCAGTGTGTCTTGTGTTTCCACCTGACATTCAATTGTTCATAATGGCTCACCAGTAAGTAGACATACAGGCCATGTTTGACATGATGACATCATATCTACTTACTCAGTTGTCCTTTAGTTTTTATACCAACCTCCTAGTATGGACTTTCTTGTGTGGCTGCTTTGTAGACAGGCATGTTTCCATAGGGAGTTATGCATCCCTGATGGCTATGCACAGGACAAGTATTCCAATAAAATTGTTAAGTCTGTCTATTCATGATGTACTGATCTTAGAAGAACTCAGGTGTTCAGACAGAGGTTCTGTTTGAGTCAGAGAAAGGTTCTTGCTGTCCTGCCTTGGTTCTAGACTTAGTAGCTGCAGCCACTGTGACCTTGTTAGGTGGAGGATCCTTGACCTCCTCATATCTGGGGCTGCATTGGGCCCTGGCTGCTGGAAGCCTCAGGCTGCTGGTGCTGTCTGGGCCCTGGCACAGTGGGTGAGTTCCTGCTAGGAATAACAGATGGCAGTAACAGATGAGTAACCGATGTAGGGGAGACACTCAGGGTGCTTATGGTCTCATGTCCCAGAGCACTCTCACTCTAAATTAGAATTCAGCTTCTGCCAGGAGGCAGAGACAGGTGTCTGCTCTAACACTATAATACTGGGGAGCTATAGCTACAATGGGACCTGGCATAGCACTACCCTCTCTCGGGCTGTGGCTGTAGTTCCTCTTGCTCCCCCATTGAACCTGCCATCTGGTGAGTGCACACAACTGTCTCCAGGTCCTGAGTGTCAGAGACACAGGTGTAGAGAACATTGGGACCGTGTTCAGGGATGGCACAGTGCTGGTGGCTCCTGATACCTCGTTTTTTGCTAATATCATTTCATCAACACACTGTACTGTTTTGCGTGTGTGTGTGTGTGTGTGTGTGTGTGTGTGTGTGTGTGTTACACATTCATGTATATATGCATGTTTGTAGGTGCATGATGAGTACATGCATGGGAAGTGGGGCTAGAAGTCAAATTTGCTGTCATCCTCAGTTGCTCTCTACCTTACTTTGGTGGCATGGTCTCTCACTGAACTTAGAGCTGAGTGATGGGCTAGGCAAGTTAGCTAGCAGGTCCCAAGGAATATCTCTGACTTCACTTCCTCAGCACTGAGATTACAGGCATGCTTCACTGTGACTGACATTTTATGTGGGTGCTGGAGATCTGATCTTAGGTCCTTGTACTCATTCAACAAACACTTGACTCATTAAGCTAGCTCACTGTCCAACACAACCATTTTAATGCCATCATGAGGTACAGTATTAATAGTAGAGAAAGTTGTGAAAATGGGGACTTGGACTTTTCAGTGAGGACAAGATTTCTAAACACTGAGCATTCTGAATGAAATTCTCAGTATCTTCTCCCCCCCATCCTGTGTCTTGGCCCTGAAGGACCAGTTGGGAATGATTCCCTGAGTTCCCTATATGTTACAAACCAGTATGAGGGCCACTTTCAAGTGAAGTATGATGGGCTGTAGGATTTTGGTATGTGGAGACAAATGGAGCGTGCAGGAGGCCTCAGTGACTTGTAGACAACTTGGCTGTGGCCCTTGCATTATGCCTTCCAGAATATTCCGAGGCATGATAAAATGGAGATATCTCAGCTGTATGATACCCAGTGCTGTAATCAAGCAGCCACTCTCTGGGAGTACTTCCTGGGGGCCTGACAACAGATATGTGGTGGTGGTGATCTGTTTAGGTGGATCAAATGGACAGCATGAGCTCCTTACTCCCTGGAACTTCCTTCTTTGTTTTGGCTCCAAGGTCACTGAGGCAGATACCCATGTGTTGGGGAAAGTTCTGGCCAGGAGTGAGTATCTTGTCCCCTTGGAAGCCCTTGGTGAGAGACCAGGTCAAGGATTTCCTGTCTGAAGGCAGCTCCCTTCTCACTCTTGTCCTCACTGGGCCCATCTTTGGTAACGTCTCATAGTGCCCCTGGTTTCTGAAGTCTGCATCTTCTTGTTGTTCTCAGATCATCTCAGGGAACACCCTGGGATTCCCATGCTGTCACTCTTCACAGTGCTTTTCAGTGGTTCAGGAGAATTAACCAAATGGGTGCTTGAACCAGTGTCCCAACACAGGCTCCCCTGGCCATTTCTCTCCCTGCTCAGACTCAGACATACCCAGTCCTAGGAGGATGACTCTATTTCCTTCAGTGCTCAGGGACACAGAAAGGGCAGTGATAATACCAGGGGCCCTGTGCATGGTCCATCAGGCTGGGGAAGTTAGCAGTCGACCCTGGGCATGTGCCTGAGGCAGAGGCGGTCAGGATTTGCTTTTCCTTCTCTGTCATCAGATGGCACCTGTCTGAGTGGCTGGAAGGATCAGTCCCTGAGTTGGGTCCCCAGATACAAGAGTCACACATGGCTCAGTTCTGAAGGGTCCCTTGCATAAGGAGGAGGCAAATGCTCTGTGCAAGCAGCCGGAATTTGAACTGCTCTGCAGCAGTCCGGGGTCCACTATGGCACCGGCACTGCAAGGCAGGGACAGAAATTCACGTGCTGCTGGGGATCAAAATTTGACACTATGCAGTGCAAGTTCCACATGAACTTCCAAAATCAATGTTTCCTTCCAACCAGTACAACAGGGAGTATGCAGAGGTGAGGATGCCCCACCCCAGCACTTTAGTCTAGATGTTGGGTACTTGAGATGAACAAAGGAGACTTATCTATCTGCCTTCAAACCTGTAGTCAATAGAATTCTCTCCCTTGCAGTGCTTGTCACCATTGCTACTGAGAGGTGATCCAGGGTGGCCCTGGGATATCTTTGGATGGTCACTGCACTGGGTGGTCTGTCCACAGCTCATGGCTAGTCTGTACTCGGGGTTTGAGGAGCTGTTGAGGTAGTGCCCATTTGCCTTGCCTGTGATGACATGGAAGCCCACGTCTCTCTAGAAGCAAAAATACTAGGAGAGTATTTATGGTCAGAATTTCTGTGGGTTCCAATTCCCAAGTGAGGTATAAGGAGGAGCTTCAACATCCTTCATCTGTAGATCTCAGAACTTGTGGGCCACTGTGCCAGGATCAAGGCAGGTTGTCCCCATTCTTCACTGGGGGACTGGGTGGCAGTCATCAGGTCACGTCACTCCAGTGACCTGCAAGAAGCCTGCCTTGACCTCAATTGCTTCACCCAGTGTCTGTCTTCAGGTCACGTGGAGGCCCGGCTGCTGGGTGGTACACACCCCTGTGAAGGACGCCTGGAGGTTCTTCAAGGCCTTACCTGGGGCACCATCTGCTATGATGACCTGGACCTGCCCATGGCCAATGTGGTTTGTCGGGAGCTGGGGTGTGGCACCGCTGTATCCATACTCAGGACTTCCCACTTTGGCCACGGATCAGGGCCTGTGTGGACAGAAGCCTTTCACTGTGTGGGCAATGAGTCACTGCTGTTCCATTGTCTAAAGGAGCCTGGACACCAGTGTGGCCATGATCAGGATGCTGCACTAACCTGCTCAGAGGAAAGTGAGTCAAGTCACAACCTACAAGGGTGTCGTGTTGTGTTAGCAGGAGCAATGATCTGAGAGATGGGTTGTGATGACCATGGATGGACAGCTTGGGGTGGGTGCTCAGGACTTGTCTTCTCCTCTGTCCCAGATGTTCTATGATCTCATTCTAATATTTTTCTTCTCTCATGTGTTTGCTTTCCTTTTCCACCTTTGGGGGAATGATTGCTCAGCTCTACCAAAGATTTCAGAATAGGGGGTAGTATTGATGGTTTTGAATATTATGTATGGCAGACTTTGTTGATACATGCCTCACAGCCCCACCATGTATATTGTTTCCCCTGGTTACAAGGACCTTTTGTACATGCAGTTCAACTTTGCTTCATTCAGCCAGTTTTTTTGTGCTTGTGCTTCGCTATCACATCTAAAGCTTGACTTTACAAGTCCAAAGTCCTACAGCATCACCTCCTGCTTTCTGTTAAGACAGTTGTCCTTCAGCACCGAGTCCAGGACTATGTTGGGTCTTGAGTTCACATTGGTTTCTGATGTATGGAGTACTGGTTCCATGTAACCCATGTGGATGTGCTGTTTCTCCAGCACTTTGAGTCATTATTCTTCCTTCCAAGAGTAGCCACTGCCCACTTTCCAGAAACTTAGAGACCATATATGTGTGAGATGATATCTGCACCTTTAGTTTGATTCCATTGATCTCAATGTCTAGCCTCATGCCACACCACAGTGTTTTGGTTCATATAGCTTTGTTGTAAGTTTTGAAATGAGGATGTGAGTGTCTAGCTGCTTATATGGTTGTGGGTCTTTGGGAATCCTCATCTCTACAAGAATGCTAGGATTGACTTTCTAACTTTCCAAGCACTTGCTTGGGTTTTGATAGGCATTGCAGTGCATCTGCCGACTGCTTTAGGTGGGGTCGTCATCTTCCAAGACCATGTCCTCAGACCCTGAATGAGGCCTGCTCCCCTCTATGTAGGTTTAGTGTGATTTCTTCTTTTAAGAAGTTTATTCTATATTTAAGGGGTACATACAGCCTGACATGGCAATTCATGTTATAACAAGCAGTGGTTAGGTCTGAGTAACTGGCATATCTGTCACCTCAGACATGATTTTCTTGTTGTGGTTGAGAATATTCAGCAACTTATCCACTAGCTATTTTGAAGTCTTCCAGAAGTTGTAGTCAACCACATTAGAGAACATTCTAAGTCCAGTCGTTCCCTGGCACCTTTGACCATTCACTCTCCATCGCCCAGCCCTCCTTTCTTGGCTCTTGTAACTAGTCTGCAGTTCTGTCTTGTTCTATCAACTATTCACATCTTCCTCATGAGGATGAGAACTTATGTTTTGTGTCACCTGGTGGCTGACTTATTTTGCTTAATGTCTTTTTTTCCATGTACATTGCTTCAAATGGCAGAATTCAGTCTTTCCAGTGGCTGAGATACCTATCATCTTGTTCATACACACTGTCTTAGTTAGAGTTTCTATTGTTGTGAAGAGACATGACCACGGCAACTCCTATAAAGGAAAATATTTAATTGAGGGTGGCTTACAGTTCAGAGGTTCAGTTCATTATCGGGGTGGGACATTGAGGCATACAGGCAGACATGGTGCTGGAGAAGGAGCTGAGAGTTCTATACCGTGATCCCCAGCCAAGAGGAAGTGGACTGTGTCACTGGGAGTAGCTTGAGCACAGGAGACCTCCAAGCCCACCCCGGCAGTGACACAGTTCTTCCAATAAGGTCACTGCTACTCCAACAAGGCCACACCTCCTTATAGTGCCACTCCCCATGGGCAAGCATTCAAACACATGAGTCTACAGTGGCCATGTCTATTCAAACCATCACACACACCATGCTTCCTTTATCAAGTCATTCTTTAAGAGAGACCTAAGTTGAATCCATGTCCCACTGTGGATAGTGCTGAAATAAACGTGTAAGGGCCTTTGTCTCTTCCACATGCTCTTTTGAATGCTAGATGCCCAGTGGTGGAGTTGTTGACCTGTGCGGCCAGTCTATTCCTGGTTTTCTCGGGAACCCCCACATTGCATGTATACTTGGGCTCCACAATTTCTTAATGGTTCATTTCATCATTCCTGTCAGTTTTCTGAGATTCAGTTTACAGAGACATTGTCCATCATCCTCACATTCCTTAGTTCTTCTCATGGTTCCCATTAGTTCTGAACACACTGAAGATCTCGTGCTTAGGACTATGTGGTGTACCTTTCTGTGTGGTATGTTGCTTTTGGAATTTCTTTTCATAGGTAAAATGGTTATTGAGGCAACACAGAGAGATTTCCTTTAGTGACCAGAAAAAAAAAAAAAAAGCGATTCTTCTCTTAGCCTGTAGATGATTTCTATCTTGTATTACACTGGCTGGTATCCAGGCCACTTAATTATCTAGTGCTCATACCTGCTTGTGTGTGGCCAACGTTGAAGGCATGTATCTCACTAGAAACCCCCCATGTTCGGTTCCAAGAAATTTGATGTTTCTGGTTTTCCCAGCATGATCCCTGAGTTGGGCAGGGTAGAGGTGTTGGGGATGTGAGGGTGTGGGGAGAAAGGGATGGAGTTATGTAGTCAGAACACTGGGCTGCCTACTCTAGCTTTCAGTGCCAACACTCTGCAAAGACATTCTCCCATTTAGTGTGTGTGCGCACCCAGTTTGCGTGTGTCCTGTAAGGAACCAGCACTGTGCGTGGGTGTCCACAGCTCTGGGATGCGGAGGTGGCACTGACTCCAGCTCTCCCTTAGAGTTCCGACTGGTCAATGGCGGCAGCGGCTGTGAGGGCCGCGTGGAGCTTCGGGTAAAGGAGGACTGGCAGCCCCTCTGTGCCGCCCACTGGGACTCAGCAGATGCCACGGTGCTCTGTCACCAGCTCAGCTGTGGTTATGCGGTTGCTGTACCCCAAGGAGGACACTTTGGAAATGTGAGCGGTCTTATCTGGACAGATGTGTTTCACTGTGTGGGGACAGAGCCCCACTTGCTGAGCTGCCCAGCAAGTACCCTAGGGGCCCAGGCATGCACCCTGGAAAATTCAGCCTCGGTTGTCTGCTCAGGTGAGTGCATGAAGCCATGAGACTGTGAAGGAGAAGCTAAGTGGGACTGATGGACAGAGCTGTGAAAGGATTGGTAGGGTGAGGATAGGTGGGGCTGTTGTTCAGTGCAATGGTCCTCTGCTCTTCAGAGTTTCTCTCTGTCAGGTCTCCAGGATGCCCTACGGCTGAGGGATGGACAGAGCCACTGCGATGGGCGAGTAGAAGTCTTCCTGGATGGTGTGTGGGGGCGTGTACTGGACAATGCCTGGGACCTGCGTGATGCTGCTGTGGTGTGCAGGCAGCTCGGGTGCGGAGAGGCACAGCGAGCCTATGATGCTCCAGCACCGGACCACAAGACAGTCCCTGTGGGGTTGAGCCTGGTGCGCTGCTCGGGCTCTGAGACCCATCTGGCCCGGTGCAATGTGTCAGTGTCCCAGGTGGTGCCTGCGGGGACTTTGCAGGATGCAGGCGTGGTATGCTCGGGTGAGTGCGGGGTGTCCTCTCCTCCGCGTCCCGCCCTGGCCCGCCTTACTCGTGTAGTCCAGTGTGCCTTGACTGGGTCCCTCCTTTCTGCAGGGAGCTTGCGCATACGGTTGGCAGAGGGTAAGGGCCGCTGTGCTGGGCGTGTCGAAGTGTTTTATCAGGGCACATGGGGCACTGTATGTGATGATGCCTGGGACCTGCGGGATGCCCACGTGGTCTGCAGGCAGCTGGGCTGTGGCTATGCCCTCAGTGCTCCTGGGGCTGCCCATTTTGGAGCAGGAACTGGGCGCATCTGGATGGATGAAGTAGGCTGCCTGGGCGAGGAGGCTGCTCTCTGGGAGTGCCAGTCAGGAGGCTGGGGCCAACAAGACTGTGGGCACAAGGAGGACGCAGGTGTGGTCTGTTCAGGTGGGTACCACAGGTCCAGCTTAGTGAGTCCAGTCCTCCCCAACTCCGCCTGGCTGACTGGGCCCTCTGTCTGCAGAATTCACTGATGTAAGGCTGCAGGAACACAGCCAGCCATGCACAGGCCGCCTGGAAGTTTTCTACAATGGGACTTGGGGTGGCGTCTGCCAGTCCTTGAGTGCTGCCTCTCTGAGGGTTCTGTGTGGACAACTGGGCTGTGGGTCCCAGGGGCAGCTGCTGGCCAGGCCAACGAGCTCATCTACACTGGAGACTATCTGGTTGAAGTCCATTCAGTGCAGGGACAAGCATGACAGGTCCTTGTGGCAATGCCCCTCGGAACCCTGGAACAGGCACTCTTGCCTCAGTGGAGAGGAAGCTTGGCTGGTGTGTACAGGTGAGCTGTGTTGTGGGTTTTTGAGGGGTGTCACTGTGGCTCTGGGTGGGGTGTGGGTCATATGGACTCATCTCAGGCTCCTGTTGCTTCCTGCTTCTCCTAAAGACAGTCCATAGGGGAATAGTGTGTGGAATTCCCAGGCTTTGTGGATATCCTTTGAAACCTAGAGGTTTTCTCCCCCTGGTTATGGGGGGACAGCACTGAAAGGATGAACGGTGCTGGTGATGGCGCTGGTTACCGGCGGAAATGTCACGAGCCACGGCCACGACTACCAGAGTGACAGAGAGCTTTATTGGAAGGAGGGAGGGGATGGGAGGGAGGAGAGACAGGCCTGAGAGAGAGAGAGAGAGAGAGAGAGAGAGAGAGAGAGAGAGAGAGAGAGAGAGAGATGGCGGGAGCAGAGCAGAGAGGGAACAGAGAGAGCGTGGGGTCTGCATCTGGCTTTTTAATGTGGGTACGTAGTCACCAGTGCCCCCTAATGATATAAGATGCAAGACCCCGAGGTGTGCATGTACAGGATCCTAATAAGCACAAGGGAAAGAAAGTATTTCTTAGATTTTTGTTGTTGTTGTTGTTGTTGTTGTTGTTTGAGACAGGGTTTCTCTGTATAGTTTTGATACCTGTCCTGGATCTCACTCTGTAGACCAGGCTGGCCTCGAACTCACAGAGATCTGCCTAGCTCTGCCTCCCGAGTGCTGGGATTAAAGTTGTGAGCCACCACCGCCTGGCATTTATTAGATTTTTGATTTCTGAGCTTGTGACATTGGTGTGATTCTTAATTTCCACACAGAAAAGACAGAAGTTTCTCAGGATATGGAACAGATTTCCAACTGCTCATCAACACTTAGCTGCCCAGGTAACTCTCCCTCCGCGAGTCTCCTAAGAACCTGTCACCCAGAGAGCATCACGCGTTGATCGCTGACCCCTTTTTCAGAGGAAGGTGCACTTCGCGTGTTTGGGGGTGACAATGGCTGCTCTGGACGGGTGGAGTTCTGGCACGGAGGATCATGGGGCACAGTATGCGATGACTCCTGGGACCTGGCAGATGCAGAAGTTGTGTGCCGGCAACTGGGCTGTGGCCCAGCCATAGCTGCCTTGCGGCATGCTGCCTTCGGCCCTGGTTCAGGGCCAATATGGCTAGATGAAGTGGGGTGCCGAGGCAGTGAGACGTCTCTGGGAGCCTGCCAGGCAGAACCGTGGGGATATGGAGACTGCTCCCACAAGGAGGATGCTGGTGTGCACTGCCTAGGTGAGTGAGGCAACAGTGATGGGAAGAGCAATGCCACGTTGATAGTTTTCGCTATTTGCCACCCTTGCTCCCCTCAGACAAATCCTTGAGCACAGGACCCCAATGTTTAGGGCCCCATCGGTGCTCCAGGGACAGATTGCCACCCTCAGTCCTGTATAGCTCTTGCTGACCCAGTGGCTGCCACCCACAAAGTATGGGCCCATCTGTGCTGTCGGGGGTGATTGAGACTTCCCCCAACTTCCCCCATGTCTTTTGCAGATACGTCCACGACCGAGGCATCAGGTAAGTGGCTCTTCGTTAATCCTTCCTCCTCTCATCCATCGTCACCTGGACAGGCTGCAGTGGCACTCTTTTCTGATCTTCCTTGAGAACCTCTGAGACCACATGCCATGGGTGCACCCTTTGCATCAGGTATAAGCCTGTGGGGATGGACTCCCAGTCTGTGACGGAAACTACTCATCTCTACTGTGCCTGCTAGATAGGAAAACATGGGGGACCAAATTCCTGGGTCACAAGCAGCCCCTTCTAGGGGCCTTTAACTTGCAGACTATATGATTTTGTCTGAGTATGCCATATCCTATTGGCTAGCATGTCCATAACAGAGCAGAGGGAAAGACAATGAGGATCCCCCACACGGACTTTCTCCCTCCTTCAACCTGGGCCTGGGCACTTGGGTCCTCTTTCCTAGGGCATCTTGCCCTGTTAACACAGAGGATCTTACATGAGCAACTACCTGCCTATGCAACACTGATACCAACCTTCCTGGGTTGCTCATGGGGATGAGCATCCCCATGATGTCATCCAGGCCCAGCACCCACCTGTCCCAGGCCGCCCAGGTACACAGTACACACATTCATTTGCTACCTAATTCTGTGCTCCACAGGCAGTTCCCTGGCCCCTCCCTCTGCTCCTGAGGTCTGGACCCTGCCTGAGATTGCCTGCTTGGTCCTTGGCTGCCTCCTGGGCATCGTTTTTCTGGTTCTGGCTTCTAAGTGGTACTGCAGCAGAGCCATCAGCATGGGTAAGGAACGAGCTGGTTATGGTTCACAAAGGTAGTGGAACAGAAGTCCGGGGGAAGCTTTGTGAGAGTCTAGCCACCGCAGGCCCTCTCTGCTTTAATTATTGTCTTGAATGCTGGCAAGTCTCCATGATAGCCAGTGCTGAGTTAGTATCTGGAGATTCCTGAGTTATTCTGGTCCAGAGGGTTCTGGGTTTGTCCACTGTGCCGAGGATAGTCCGCATCTGCACGATGGGCCCCATTGCATCTCCCACCATCACTTGTGCTGTCCCGAGTGAGCTCTCTCACAGATGAGATGTCGACGTAAGACCCACAAGCCCTACACCAGACCTTTGAGCATTGTGTATCATGGGCAGTGGGAGGTCCCATTGAGGGCATCTGCGGTCAAGGGCTTTTCCCTGTATGTGGGTTCTCAGCATGCACGCACGAGAGCCGCAGGAACCAGAGAGGTGGCTGAGGCTTTAGCTGTGCTTGTTTTGCAAAGCCCTGGTGTGGTCTCTGCAGGTTCCGGAGTGATGGGGCAGCTGCCCTCAGATGCGATCTATGAATACATTGAAACAGTCCCTATGGAGGAAAGGGCAGAGGAGCCATCAGCAAGCCAGAGCCTGGTGCAGGAGGAGGATTATGATGATGCAGAAGAGCCTGAGGACAGCCCTGGGGAAGATATGGAGGCTGGGCACTGTTGAGCCTGAGGACAGCCCTGGGGAAGATACTGAGGCTGGGTACCATTGAGCCTGACTGGTGTGCACCTCTGTTTCCTGAGTTCCAGCACATCCTTTCTGATGTTAGGCTCAAATAAAGTGATTCTGCTGTGGTCTGGTACTTAGAATCCCTGAGGACCAAATGAGTGTCTCTCTCTTTAAATATAGATGGGGCTGTTTGCTGCCTGAATGCTGATGTTGATGCTGAAATAGAAAACTGTGAGGACCCCTACCATCAACAGATGACCTTGTACTGGCCTTGAGGTTATAAAACTGTCCAAAGTGTGATATCATCCTCAGAGACTTTAGTCTTCCCTGTCCCCATTTAACCAACCTGATGTCATTAAACTTCTTTCAACTTAGAATTAATTGTCCACCCTTCCTAGAACTGTTATCACATTCAACCATGAAACTTGTTCTTTTCTGAGCCTCAGTCACTGACCTTGGACTTAACTCTCGTGAGTAGGTTTTGTATGTTTCCCACAATGTCTTTGTCGGTGTTCTATTGCTGTGAAAAGACACCCTGACCACAGCTCCCATAAAAGAAAGATTTAATTGGGACTTGCTTACAGTTTCAGAGGTTTAGTCTATTATTATCATGGTGGAAATCATGGTGGCAAGCAGGCAGACAGGGTGCTGGAGAAGTAGCGGAGAGCTCTGCATCTGGTAGGCAGTAAGGAGAGGGAGACTCGGGCTTGGAATGCGCCTTTTGAAACCTGAAAGCCCACCCTTCCTCCAACAAGGCCACACCTCTTAATCCTTTCAAACACTGGTGACCAAGTGTTCAAATCTATGAGCCTATGGGGGCCATTCTTGTTCAAACCACCACAGACAAACACTGACCACCTTCATCTAGCCACCACCTCATGCCCAGACCAACCTGGGGCCACTCTTCCCACCAAACCTATCACAACCTGCCAGTGACCATTGCCAAGGAATTGGAGTTGAATTTTAGACTGAGCAGAACCAGGGAACCCGAGGCAGTGCAGCCTGGGAATGCTTTGACTGGTGTTTTGTGCAGCTTTTATTCCAGAGTGCTCAGAGCGAATTCAAAGCAGGGACAGGGTGATGACGAAGGGGGAAACTTGAATTAGTAAAATTGAAGCTCTAAAGAGAGGATTTGCTACTATCTTGCTTAGGAAACACTAAGTTACATGAAGTAGAGTTTAGCTAAAGGAGCGCCTCCTCCAATACAACTGGAAGCTAGTAGTATACTGACCAGGCTTCTTAGAAACTGTAGGGAAGAACACTGGTGCCATAATTGAAGTCTAGGGTGCTGAGAAAGTTTCTGCTAATGTTTGTTCACCAAGGCTGACCTCCAATTAGACCCTGTCCTCATAAGGAGAGGAGACATCCCTGACTTATAACCAGCCATTAGGCCCATCCCCTTATCTAAGAACATGCCTCCACGGGGCAGCTCAAGGGGGTAGGCAGGGTCACAACCATCATTTAAGTCCTGGTCTGCCATTAAGTCCCCTGAGTCATTATCAGGAAATCATAATTCTGCCAAGTGGGCAAGATGGCCCTGGGGAACAACTACCAGAAAAG